AATGACAAAAAATAACCAATTCGTGGGAAAAAAAAAAAAAAAAAAAAAAAAAAAGAAAAAAATGCCTTTCTAAAAAGGTATTTTCTTAGTCGCGATATTCGCACTAAAGATTGTCGTCAATTCTAAAGATTGAAGTCTTTTCAGAAAAAAAAGAAAGAAAAAAAAATATATATATCTTTTCTGCCACCTCAGATTTATTTCCTTGGGACGTAGAAGTCCCATAGTTTACTAAATAGCGAACATGGGATCGCAAGCAAATGGTAATTTTCAATCGGTACTTCTAGCTGCTTATAAGCATGCGGATGGTAAGAAAATAGATGGTCGCAGAGTGTTGGTCGACGTGGAACGAGCTAGGACTGTAAAAGGATGGCTTCCGCGAAGGCTCGGCGGTGGACTCGGAGGAACGCGAAGGGGTGGGCCCGATGTAAACATTAAACACTCTGGTCGGGAAGATAATGAAAGAGAACGAGAACGGTATCGTTTGGAACGAGAGAGGGAGAATTCTGGACGCCTTGACAGAGACAGGTAAACGATAATATCCTATGTAAATTTTTTATTTTGGAGACGTAAACCTTGTACTTATATGTTGTTGTTTGCGCAGAGATCGCGATCGTTTGGACAGAGAACGCAGAAGGTCCCGTGATCGTAAAAGAAGGACACGAAGTAGGTCCCGTGATCGAAAACGTAGACGAAGCCGTGATCGTTTACCCGATCCGGATATTGAAGAGATTCAGAGAGACGAACGACCTCGCGATAGGAGAGATCGTGATCGTGATCGCGATCGTGACCGGGATCGTAAGCGAAGACGTTCCAGGAGTAACGATCGTGATCGTGACAGGGACCGTAAGAGAGATAAACGTGATCGTGATCGCGAACGTAGAGATAGGAAAGATCGGGGTGATCGTCAAGACGAAGATACGAAAGAAATTCGAATTAAAGAGGAACCTTTGGATGGTATATTTTTCTCTATGTATTACAAACTTCGAGTCGTTGATCTTTTTCAGATACTAATTTTCTTACGACGCTCGTTTCTTCTTGTTTCAGATTACCCTGATTATAGTAATACTTTCTCAACGTCTGGATCATACTTTACTGCTGTAAAATATGAAGACGATAATGACCAAGAGGTAGAAGAGAAATACAGAATTCCAGAAGGTCGTCCAGATCCCCCTCCCTACAATAATTATGACTCCGTACAAGATTATTGATCTCAGTAATATCTCTTGTATTGTTCTTTTTCGTTACCACGCACGTCACGATGAATTAACGCAATTGTCAATACTGTATTGTATTTCCTACTATTATTAGTGTATATCGAATCGACCGCGTTGAGTATTTAGTTTCTGTATAATTTACAGCGACCAGATACTCAGTAAGGATATTGCAAGGTAAGAAAATTTGGACTACTGATTTGTATGCAGTTATTTCTAGTTGGTTGATTTGAAATTTTGTATAGTTATGGTTGGTGCGACAGTAACTTCTGTAAATGAATTTAGGCACATTGAATATTGTCAAACTTTTACATCCATGAATTTCAATTGTCGTAGCAGTTTGTGTGAAACCTCGCAATATGGAACTGAGAGGTCCATAAATATTCGAACTTTATTGCGACTACTATAATTTCATTATTCTCTATATGTGTACATAAGTATATACGAAACATATTACCTAAAGTTATTTCTTTCATGACTGCTGCATGTATATTTATATATACAAATAAAATAAATTACACACTTAATTTGTTAGTTACCCTGGTACGTTGTTTTCATTCTTTGCGAAACATTTACGAAATGAAATAATCGTAGGTATGAAAACATTCCACGTGTTCCATTATGGTATCTATACGTGTGATAATTTTTAATTAACTTAACTGAATGATTAACCGAGCCTTTATGAAAGGTGAAACATAATGTTTGTGTTAATGTACATACATGTACCGGACGTTGCAGTATCGAACGAGAGTTATTTTTTGTTACACCTACCGTAAATGGCCGGCTCATCGCGTATTAACTGGACCAAATCATTCCGGTCTCTTACCTGTGTATACGATATCGATAATGGGATTAAAAATAGTGGAAACTTCCAAGAAAATCAATCGCAACGATAAAATTACTATACTTTAAATAAACTTGTTTAGAATAATTTCATTGTAAATATTATATCACGAGATATTACATTAGCTTTCTTTTTATATTTTCTTCATTTTTACGCATTGTTAAATCAAATTCTAATACTTTCAAATTTAACATCAATCGATAAGAAATTAATTATAAACAGATAGAATACTCGTACACGTACGAAACAGGTTCCGCTTTAACCTATGACCTATTTGTCTTTTACTTTTCATTATATTCATTATAATTGTATTTTATCGAGGAGAGTGTACAACTTATAAACGGTAATTCCGAATTCGAAATGTAATATGTCAGGAAATGTGGGTCGACACAAGTCTCGTGGATTTCTTTTCGGCGTTTGGAATTGGCGCCAAGGTGAGCTAACAAACTTTGACAACAAAATGCTACGGGTACAGGATAATACTCTTGACATTTTTCAAGAAAACGTCTTACATTTCCTTTGTACGTCTCTGTACTAACTTTCACGCTAGTTTCCTTTCAATCGAACAATCTACCAATCTACCAATCATCAACAATCCATACATCGGATCAAAACATTTGCAGTTTATCGAGTTCCTTTATTAAACGTAGGTAAAATCGAATAAAAATCGATTTCACAAAAATGAAATTAAATTACGATATACGTATCGAACTGGCAACGTAGAGATCATAGATGACGCAACAAGCGAGAGAGGTAATTCGCTAAAGGATAGAGATCGATTAAAAGTGGTCGATAGGTGTTGGAAAGTGGCAGACTTCAGTGAGTAGAAGCTCCTTATTCTATTTGTGCGATGTCGCAGTCCAATGCCAGCTATCCTCGCCGCATTAAACGCTCGTTCTCCGGAAATTACAATTCCCCTGCAATAACTTCGAATTGCTTCTGATTCGGCTATCGTCGTTCAACCTATCGTTCGACAGTCTAAAAACCTGGCTGGCAAATTGCGCCGACACTGTTCTATTCGAATAACTGCCTGACATTTCTCGATACTTCTTCCTATTTCTTCCAGTGTGTCGATAATCAAGCACCTGTGGAGGCTCGAAGGTGAGCTCTGCCCGATTTAATCCGATTGCATACTACGAGCCACTCGAGCGGGAAAATCTTCGAGCCAGCTAATACCTCGCAGATCATTTTCTCCCCACCTTCCTTTGGAATATCCCGAAAATCTACGAATACGTGAAATATCACGAATCTAAGTAAGTGATTCACTTTTAAGCGAAGCTAACTCGTTCGAATTTAAAAATCGTTCCACGAAATGTTGACATTTTGAGGTTACTTTCGGCGCGGGAATAATCGTTCCGTGGAAAGTAAAGAAGATGGTCGTGACAATAGGACATGCAACGGAATGGTCGAGCACGGAAACAGTTTAACCGTAAATAGTTGGTTAAATTAAGCAAATATTTCCTCCGGGCCGGTAAATTGAAAAACCGCAGGCGTAAGTAACTTAACAAGCGGCTCGCCTGGTTTCCCAACTCAGTGCCTCTTACCCTCTGCCGTAGAGTGCTTAATTATTAGCGGTTCTGAGTTTGGATCGGTTTCTTGTCGTTGGCGATAACGTCACCGGCTACTGCCACTTTTCCACTGGAATCGCTGTCCTATTAATAATTCTCCGTCGCGGCGTTTTCACACAAGAAAAGTTTGCTTAATCGAAACAGCAAAGTTTCGAAATTCCGCCGCTTTTAAATCGTACAAAGGTACTCGAATTGAAATTATTCGTAATTGCGACTGGCGTACACGCCGCTGAGCAACCTCGACTCGCGAGCAAAAATTTTTTAATTTCAATTCGGACATTATTCCTCGACGAATGTGCCGGGATTGTAAAATCGTTTAATGAAAAGAATCACTTCTCGGTCTCGTTACATCGAAACTGCGTTTATCGAATTGTATTATATCCTCGTGCACGGAACGTTATCCGTTTTTACCGCGCAACGTTATTACACGTAATAGACAGTTCACGATTGCACGATGATAGCCGTTGGTCCTATGGTATCCGTTAAATTTCATTAATTTTTTTCAGACCTCTGGGAGTGGGAGGCACGGCACGCTCTAGGTGCATCGCTCGTATCCGTGACCTGCGATCCGGCGTCGTAAACCGAATACGACTCGGAGCTCCACGGTAATTCTATTTCATACAACTTTAACGTCGATTCGATTCCGGAGCTCTGCGAGTGCACTCGTATCGAGCTTTCCGGATAAAAGTTGCTCGCCGATTAATCTTTCTAAACGGGATTACTTAGCGAAGATAAAGGACCCTCTCGCGGAAGATACTTCCTTTGTGCTCGCACTCTCCGCTGTTTCGTTTCGACGCTGCATAAAGTTATGACGTCCGTTATGTTATTCGACCGAATATAAAAAAGAAATATCTTTCAGGGAAAGAAGAATTAACGGCCTCCGAGATGTCCGCAATGAAGCAAGGCAGAGGAAAAATTCAGTCGGTCGCTTGGTGTACAAAACAGCCGGACACCCCGCACGTCGCGATTCGCCACGAATCGAAGCCGATACCACGGGAAATTTCACGCACGGATTACCAACTATGGGATACGAATCGATGCCCCAATAGAACGGCTCGGCGCATCTTTGATCATTGTTTGCACGAAGATTAATTATCCGCGTTCACGAGCGATCAGATCGTTTGGCAGCTGCAACGAGTATTTCGGAGTTCCAAAGCGGGTACACGGCGTGGGAGAAAAAGCGAAATAGAAGAGCGGCGAGAGACAAAGCCGGCGGAAACGGTAATAACGTTACGAGAGGGACAAGATCCAAGGTGGAACGGGGGCTTCGTTCGACGGGCTGTTCTTTGAACGCTTTAGTGGTAATTAAAAGCAATTTCTTAATTGCGCGAATTTATATTATCCTCGGCAGTCGCAGTACAGACGAATGTGCGGGGACCTTTCCGTCTGGGTATAATTGTTCTAGAAAAAGCACGGAGACGGTAACGCGTTCGTGGAGATCGCGATGCAAAGGTGGAACAGGGGTGAAACGAGAGACGGACGAATACGCGCGGGAAGAGAGGAGAGACAAGCGAGTGGAAATGGAGGGAGATGGTAGAAGAGGAAGAAATCGGTGCACGCAACGGAGTAGGGAAGTACAGGTAAGAAGAAGTACTGGAAGAAGTACCGTAGCGGAGAGACAGCGAGAAATGACGAGGGTGAGAAGGAGCGAGCGAAAACGCGTATGGTGGTCAGAAGGTTTTCGGCGGTAGAGGGGAGAGAGGACGGTACGGTACGGCACGGCGCAGGTGTGCGCCGGTAGCCCGGTCGCTGGCATGGTATTCCGCACGCCTTAGGTGCGCGTGTGCGCCGAAAGAACGACAGTGCGAAGAACGAAGCGTGTGTGGGTGCGCCTGTGCGGGACACAGGCACGAAAACCCTCCAGTTTGATCGCGAAAGAGCGACGAGAGAACGCCGCTAGTACGGGCACACTGGAAGGAAAGAGGGTTGGTACTAGGAACCACAGGGGTAGAAAGAAGGAGCGAGAGAGAGAGAGAGAGAGAGGGGGGAGGGAGAGAATTGGCGACATAGCGAGAAGGGTAGTTTGGGCCGGTGTGGGCCGAAGGTGTGCAGAGTAGGGAAGGGTAGGGACGAAAGGCGTATAGATAGGCGAGTAGCGAGAGACACAGGTAGCTGCGAGAGACTGGCAGGCATGTAGGCAGGGAAGCAAACAGGGAAGCAAGCAGGCAGGCAGGCAGGCAGGCAGGTAGGCATGCAGGCAGCGATGCAGGCAGCGAGCCAGATGGCGAGGGTAGGAAGCAAGGTGGGCGGTCGAAGGGGTAGTAACGGATAGTAAGGGGAGTCGGGGGTGTTCGGAAGGGGATGCCGGAGGTGGCGGCGTACAGGGGGCGGCAGGCTGGTGCGTCAGAGCCTGCAGTGAGCCCGGCAGTGAGGCGAAACGTTGGGCTCCGCGCGGGAGTCTCGTGGCCGCCCGCCTTTTCTTTTAAGTCGGGGTGCCTTTTTCCTTACACCCACCCCCCGCCCCTCTTTTCGTCGCCCTCGCGGCTCTACGGACCCATCGTCGCTCTCTTTCCAAGGCACGCGAGTACCTCGCTGCGACTCGTCGCCGTGATCGTTTCGCGTACGATCTCGTCACGGTTCGTTCTTCTCGTTCCGTTTCTTTTCTTCCGATTTCTTTTCATCATCGTCGCGGGTTCGGCGATTAGTCGTGGAGATGGTCGGGGATGCGATTTGCAGGGTGATCGGATCGCACGAGCACGCACGAAAGGGGAACTAGAGGGGAAGGGGAGAGGGAGAGAGAGAGAGAGAAAGAGAGAGAGAGAGAGAGAGAGAGAGAGAAACGGAGAAGGGGATAGAGAGATTCTCGAGACGGGACGGTACTCGCGGAGACACCGTGTGGACGCGAGTTTGCTGCGGTAGCGGAGAATCGTAGCAGGAACACACCGGTGCGTGACCTCCGGCTGTGGCCACATGACATCGTGTACCGTGCGTGCACGATCTTGTTACGGTTCTTTCAACGAGAAGAGGATATCGTGCGTTTCCGTGGTGATCTCGTTGGTGGTATCGGTCGGTCGGTGTCGCTCGTCGCGGCAACCTTCCCGACACTCGGTGGCGAACAAGCAGCAAGAATCGTGTCTCGTTCAGTGGCTGTTCCATGTCCAAAGCGGACAGAGAA